TAACCATGGCTACCGCATAGTTGGACACCCCAGATTCCACGGTGTCAGCGATGACCACGTTGGAGAGGCCACCCCTGAAGTGAGCCTCAGAGGCACAACCATCTGCTCTGTGTCATCCTCCAGCACCCAGATTCATCAGCAATCCTCCCACTCTTCCATGGGCTCCTTTGTGGACTTTTAGTGGGGGCAGGCAGGGAATGGACACCTGAAATGTCTGTCTTCATGAGTAGTGAAGACCTGCCCTCCATCATAAGACATGGAAGGCTTGAAGTTACCCAGGAGCACAGTCACTGTAGCTGGGGCTTTGGGCCACCAGTGGAAATGCTAGGGCTGCCCACAGTTTGCTTTCCCACCGAGAGCTAATTACATACACCTTGGCCATCCACACATTCATGCATTGAACAAACGCTTACCAAATGTCAAATAGATGCCAGACATTGCTGATGTGCAAGCAAAGAAAGCAAACTCCATCCCTACACAAATGGAGGAGGCTGACAACCCACCAATGAAGAAGGCAGCGGCAGTGCAGCCACCACGGGCCGCAGGGTGCTGGGTGTTATCAGCCGGAAGCCGCCAGCCTTCCCTCCCCCGCAGACTGTTGCCAATGACAAATGGGAACACTGCAAATGTGCAGATTAACTCATGGGGAAATGTTTAAGAGGAATTTCAAGGCTATTCTTTCAGTTTTATAAAAATTACACATCTGATCACAACAAACATGTTGGCAGCATCTAGGAGAACTGTACATGTGTACGTTTCCTCACCAAGGACGGGCATAGGTCCAAAGCCAGGGCAGTCTGGCCCTCAGGGTCTTGCAATTTGCTCTTGCATGAGCTGGAGGGACCTCTGCTGATTATAGCATTTCCTGCGGTGATTAGAATCACTAGCATTCCGAAGAACAAATCTTGTTATTTGAGCACAGAGGGCTAGTGTTGCTTTTACATTCAGCAAAGGGAACGGACACCATTTGGCCTGTAGGCTATGAACCAAGACACCCAGCTGCTGGCTGTGAAATGATTGAGGGTAACACTTATCCCTGTGTTGCTAGTACTTGGCATGATCCTTATATATAGGAATATCATAATAAAGGTTTTATATGAATAAATTAATGTGTGAATCCAAAATCAGGTAAACAGTTACACCAGATCTAAATTCAGTGTGTTAAAATTTATTCCTAAATGGGATATTTTGCCATGAAAATATATTTCTTTGAAAAATAATTGCAAGCTTTGGCTTTCAACTTTGACCCATTTTATAAATGGAGAAAATGAGGGTATATAAGTTGCCTCAACACTGAAGCAACTGAGCAGTTGTCCATGTAATGGCACCCAGGAAATAGAGTGGAAATTGGTCATGTAATGCTAAGCTAAAAATCCATATCCCACAGCTGCATTCTGGGGCCAGCACTTTATTTTAAAAGTTAGATAAACAGGAAAAATGTTCATATTACCCTAATATCATTTCCATTTCCACCCAAGACATAGCAAATATCTTCTGCACATTAATAACATACCAAGTGCAAATGTGATCTTTGGTCAATGTTCAACAGAGACAAGAATGCGTTAAAGCCACCCTGTGGCTTTAATTAAAAGAATGAGAATCTGGATTCAGCAGAGGTGAAGGCACAAGTTAATTACCCAGTGCTCTTTAGCATAACTCAAGTCGAATATCAGGGAGGGGCAATCCTCGGATCTGGGCTCCTAATGCTAATTGCCCCAAAGATCAGCTTGCCGTCTGGGACCCTTTCTCCAGAATTTTCCTAACAGTAATTATATCCTGAAACAATGAAAAGGAGCACATTTCTCCTGGCTTTTCCCAGCACGTTCCCTTGCTGTGGTCTGGCTTACCATGGCTAATGTCTAAGAGAGCAGCTCTGCAGAGGGACATATCTGTGGCTCTCACAGTCACAGCATCCCATCCTAACGACAGAGTCACCCAATCACCTAGGTGGCCAGGGCTCTGGGGAGAAGGGAGCCCGTCCCCCCGACTCTGTATGCCTTTTCTCTCTTTCTTGTCTCACTCCTCCCTACAGGAAGAAGCTTAAATAGGATTGATCAGATGAGAAGGTTCAACTTCCTTCCCTCTCCCTCAGACTGTTGCCAAATGACAAATGGAAGCACTTAACTCATGGGTAAGTGTTCAAGAATAAATTTGAGGCTATTCTTCCAGTTCTATAGAAACTAAACATCTGAACAAAACAAAAGTATTGGTGGTATCTGGAAGAACCATAAATGGGCGTGCTTCCTCGCCATGGACAGGCTCAGATGCAAAGGCTGTCCTAGCTTTACTGAGAGGCAGTGAGATGTCTGTGGCTGTTTCATTTTTCTCTTCCACGTATGCTGGTGAACTGATCAAAAGCACAGGACACATAGGAGTAAGTTGGAGCATGTTTCTCCACCTCTATCTCCATCTTCATCTCTACGTCTATCTCTATCCATTATCTCTATCTCCATCTCTGTCTCTGTTCTTTATCTCCATTTCTACCTTTATTCCCTCTCTATCCCTATCCCTGTCTCCATCCCTATCTCTATCTCTTTCTCAAGTCTGTCTCTATATTTATCTCTGTCTCCCAAATCTACCTTCGTCTCTATTCCTATCTCTATGTCTATTTCTAGCTTTGTTTCAATCTCTATGAATTCCTATCTCCATCTCGATCCCTATCCTATCTCTATCCATCTCTATCCACATCTCCATCTCCATATCTATCTCTGTATATCTCTATCTCCATCCCCATCTCTACCTCCAACTCTATCTCCATCTCCGTCTCCATCTCCATCTCCATCTCTGTCTCCATCTC